AGGGTGAACCAACCGGCAAAGGAAGACCTTTCTTCTCTTGTCCTTCTCTTCTCCTCTCACTGTCCACTCCTGTGCGCATAAAATGTATATATACACAAAGAAAAAAAAAAAAAAAAGAAAGAAAGAAAGAAAGAAATACTGGACATAGAAGCACAGAACCCATGATCTTTTGGAAGGCTGGAATTATTCCAGTCTGTTGTTTTCTTCCCTGGAGTGATGTTTTCACCACTTAGGAGAGGTGAAACACGGGGGTTTCCCAGGTATTGAGATGACTTTACATCTCACTACAACATGCACGAATCCCTTGAAGTGGTGTTGTCCAAGATGGTAGCCACCAACCTCATCAGACTACTTAAATATAATTAAAATGAAATAAAAAACAAAAATTTTTAAATATATACCTGATCATGTCATCTCTCTGCTTTAAGATGCTCTAAAACATTTCTCATCACATTTAGAATAAAATCTCTGGTTGTTGACATGGCATAGAAGATTCTACACATTATACCACCTGAATAGCCCTCTGATCATATTTCAACCATTCATCTTCTTAATCTGCTGCAGCCACACTAACCTCTTTCCTCCTCTTTGAACAGGTCAAGAAGATTTCCATCTCAAGGCCTTTTTATGTGTTCCTTTCACCTGTCATTCCCTGGCTAGTAGCAGTAGATAAGATTGTAAAGGAGCCACAGCAGAAGTTGTTCAGAAATAATTTCCTGTTTATCTGTTACAAGCTATCAATCATTGAGGGCAGGAACACAACCATTTTTTCATTTCTTAATACTTGGTAAATAGCCTGGTATACAACTGGAACACAGTTGGAATTGTTAAAGAATATGCAAAAAATATCTCTAGAGCAAGATGTGATTGATCAATGCATACAAGAATGTAAAGACATACATGATTTCAGCATCCTTAGTCCGCCCTTCCTCATGCTTTATAAATAATATTTTCTACATCTAAAGCTAAACTTTTCATTGAGAAAGACCTAGGTAAAATTATGGTTGTTTCGGTGTCTTCACCACTTTTCCTTTCAACACCTCTCTTTCCTTGTTTACAGGTTGCCATACACTTTGATGTGGAAACAAATCTCCCTTCTAACACGCATCCTCTAGTATAGAACATATTACTTCTTCCAATGATCGGTACTTATACAAGTTTAGTTTTTCTATCGCTAGTCTTACTATCAAAATTATCTTAAATCATTTTTATATTCACCATCTGTAACATAATGCCTGGCATTTAGCAATTGATCATTAAGATGATTCCTTAAGTGAAGATTATGCAAATATACATTTTTAGTTCATGTAAACATTTATAACTATCAAGAAGAAAATCAGCAGTTCTTCACATTTATTGCCAAATAGATGCTATAAAATTTTTGCAGAAGATAAAGTAAACAAAATGTGAGATCCAAGAGAGGTTAACAAGAATGTAAATGTCTTCCGAAGTTTATTCTAATAATAATAAATTAATAGAATGCCAATAATATGAGATAATTTGTTTATTCCATTATTTTCAATCATCAAATATAACAATAATATATCCGCTTTCTTTTCTTTCCCTCCTACTACTGAAACCTCTAAGGGCAGGGAAAGTGGATCCTTCCCACTGGTATACAAAATAATGCCTCGTATAGAGTACCAATCCAGTAAATGTTTATTAAATGAATAGTACTCGCTTTGGCAGCACATATATTAAAATTGGAATGATATTAAGTGAACAAAAGATGGGTCCTGAAGGGATAGTTAAGACCTACTTTCCAATACTACATATCTTCATATCTTAACTACAAACAAATGAAAAAGCACTCAGTTTCCTGGGTGATCATTTTTTTTTAAATACTGGATGCATAAGAATGCAAAATATATATATATAATAACGAAAATAATTAGTTTCACTGTTTATTACCTGATTTTGAATCTGAAGTATACTTTGGTTTTGAAGGAATACTTTGGTCTGCTAACATCATCCCTCTATAATAAGAACAAATTTGTGGCATTTTCTTATCCTTTAGTAATTTTAAAGAATCTTCAAACAATACTTAAATCATTCGCATGCAATTAATTATCTTATAGAAATAATCCAATTGCTGGAAAAATATTATCATATCTGTATAAAATAGCTTAATAACAAAAGACAATATATTTATACATTTAGTAGTGTGAGACATTTGGCATAGAATACAAGGCATAGTATTTACAATCAGAAAGACCAGATTTTAAACCCTAATTCAGCTACCCACACTGGAATGGCATTATGAAAGCTACTTAGCCTATCTTGAGTCTTGTTTACTTACCTCATTAATGCTAAAGGAAGAGCAATTCTGTTTCCTAGGGTTCTCATGGTAACCAGTTCAAGCAACATGACAGAGAAACTTTTGGCGATGGGGGGAATAAATATTCTTTTCTCTTTTTGTACACCTATAAATGAGACTCCTTAAATTTTATCTAAATATGTGGGAGAGAATAAGGATCAAAGCATAGCTTTTGAGCAACAAAATGGATTTCCTAGCAAGGTAATGGAGCTGCAAACCAATGTGAGAAGAGAATTTCTGTTTAACTCAGTAAACAGAAAACAATTTTAAAGGTCCTGCGCTGTGGTATAGCGGGTTAAGCCACCGCCTGCAGTGCCAGCATCCCACATGGACATCGGTTTGAGACCTGGCTGCTCCACTTCCGATCCAGCTCTCTGCTATGGTCTGGGAAAGCAGTAGAAGATGGCCCAAGGTCTTAGGCCCCTGCACCTGTGTGGGAGACCCAGAAGCAGCTCCTGGCTCCTGGCTTTGGATTGGCGCAGCTCTGGGCATTGTGGCCAATTGGGGAGTGAACCATCAGATGGAAGACCTGTCTCTCTCTCTCTCTCTGCCTCTCCTTCTCTTTGTGTAACTTTAACTTTCAAATAAATAAATAAATCTTGAAAAATTTTATTATTTCATATTTCCATGTAAACTTAATTCTTTTTTTTTATTTTTTTATTTTTTTATTTTTTGACAGAGTGGACAGTGAGAGAGAGAGACAGAGAGAAAGGTCTTCCTTTGCCGTTGGTTCACCCTCCAATGGCCGCCGCGGCCGGCGCGCTGCGGCCAGCGCACGGCGCTGATCCGATGGCAGGAGCCAGGAGCCAGGTGCTTTTCCTGGTCTCCCATGGGGTGCAGGGCCCAAGCACCTGGGCCATCCGGACCAGGAGCAGAAACAGGAAGTGAGACGGCAACCCGAGGAGCAGGGGCAACCAGGACAGAATCCGACCAGGCCGGGGCTCTTAGCCATTGCTCTGGGCAGTCTCCTGCTGCGGAAAGCTGCGGGACTGTGTTGAATATGGAGAGTATCCTTTGCCGTCCGAAAACTGCGGCTGGGGCCTAGGGAACGGCAGAAGGGCTGGGGTTCCGGCGGGGGGCGCCTGGTGTGACCATTTCTGTCCAGTTGAAGAGTAAGGGCGCTGGCGCCGATTGGTAGG